AGGAAGAAATACATTTTAAAATTGGCATGATGTACTTCATTATCTTTTCATGTCCACAAGGGATTCATCATTTCTTATTCTTGATATCAATAATTTGTGCCTTTTATTTATTCTTACCAGGTATTTGTCAAATTTTAAAATTTTATTGAAATAACTAATTACAAGAGTTTCTGCAGTCAGTAGAAAACAAGTATTTCCCAGCACACAATGAAGCCTGCAAAATCTAAATGCCAAAGTGATAATGACATCACAAGAAAAAGACTAATCTCAGCTGGGCGGTGGTGACACATGCCTTTAGTCCCAGTACTCGGGAGGCAGATCTCTGTGAGTTCGAGGCCAGCCTGGTCTACAGAGTGAGTTCCAGGACAGCCCCCAAAGCAATACAGAGAAACCCTGCCTCAAAAAAACCAAAGAAAAAAAAACCAAAAAAACAAAAAACCTAAAACAAACAAAAATCCTCCCACCCTGGAGGCAAATAGTCCTTAAAAGGAAAGTACAGATGGAGCATAAAGGGAAAAACTGACAAAGTCTCATTAAAACTGTTTTCCCTCACCCAAGGATGACATTATGAAAATTAAACGGAAAAGGTAAGTTACAGAAAGTAACAGATACCTGTGATCCATTTATTTTAAAATACTCATTTCCAAACGTACAGATTCTAATCAAACTACAACAAAATCCAAAAGAAAATGAATTAATAAAAACTAGAATATACAGTTTACAAAAGATAACATCCATTTGGTGGTATGCGTGTTATAATCAAGGAAGTGAAAATTAAAAATCTAAGCACATAGCAAATCAGTGACAGTTAGAAGACAGCGGTAGTTTTGTCAGCTATACACACACAGATTAATAGCAGCATTATAATAGGTCCCAAATTAGTAACAACTCAGATGTTCAGCAGCAATAGAATAGATAAATTAAGATACAATTATACAATAAAATATTGCCTAACAATGAGAGTGAATGAGCTGTAATTACATGGAGTAACAAGTGAATTTCACAAGATGCCAGACACAAGGAGCAGACTTCCAACACATCAAATTCAAAGTCATGTGAGACAGACACAATGGGTGGGGGAGTTACCTTTAGGAGACTGTGGTAACAGCAGGGAGGGGCACAAGGAAAGATTCTGAGGCCATGGCACTGTGATTTGATGTGACTCACAGTTACATAGGTGCCACTGCTTTACAATAAATTCAGACTGTTTGGGTAAGATTTGTGCACTTTGTTATAATCTCTCCATTGCCCTTTCCCACAAAATAAACCAGAGTTAGAGATTAGAAGAGGAAAAAAGGTGAAATAAAATTCATGTAACAGCGCTATAAACCAGATGGAACTAACAAACATCTGTAGAACACCCGGGACAAGTATTTTTCTCAAGTGGACACAAGACATTCTTTAGGATACACTAGACCATAAATGTGGCTGCCGTAAATTCAAAAGGACTTCAGTCATGCATGCTAAGTGTGGCTTTTTGATCAGACTGGGATGCAATTAAACACCAGCAACAGAAAGGAATATGAGAAATTAGAAACTATGCAGAAATTAACCTTCCTAATCAAGCAAAGATTAAGGGAGAGCACAAGGCAGTTGAGAAAACACTGAGAGAGTGAAGGGAGATGCCCAGGATGGATGTTCACGAAGCACTGTCAGGACACCTTAAAAGAGGAAGGCATCAGCCAAGAGCCTAACTTTCCACCTTTAAGAAGGTACGAGAAAAAGGACAACGGAATCCAAGAGCAAGCAGAAGGAAGGGAATAGCAAACCAAAGAGGGAATTCATGGCAAGTAAAATCTAAGTTGGTCCTTCAGAAATAGCCAAACCCTTAGCAAACCTGTAGTTGGCCTGATGAAGAAAAATAGTGAGAGGTCTCCAACCCTGAATTCCCGAATGGACATGGTGGGGTCTCTTGACGTTTTGGTTATGTGCCTAGCTTCTAATGGCTGAACCTCACTATAGCCTTTCTGATATGAACTCAACCATGAGAAAACATGAACAGTCATACATGAACTAATCAACTAATTTCAACTAATCGTTGAAATGAGTGCATTCCTAAAAAGGCATAGGTACCAAAACAAATTCAAGACCAACATTCTGGGAGTTAGAACAAATACAACACTGACTTTGAACCAAAGCTAAGGCCCACATGGCTGCTGGATCCACCAGACTTTTAAAGAATTAGTTGTGATATTCTTTCAAATTCCTCCTGAGTGGAGATGAGGAGGGACTGTTTCACTGCTCAGTCTATGAGGGCAGAGATGTCTCAGTCGGTAAAGGGCTTACAGTACAGACATGAGGACCTTTGTTTGATCCCCAACACCATTCAAAATGGTGATGCCCACTTGTAATCTCAGCACTGGAGACGAGAAAGAAAGACAGGCGGAGCTCCAAGCTCAGTCAGCCTAGCTAAGTTGGTGAGTCCCAGTTCCAGTGATAGATTTTGTTCCAAAACAAAAAACAAACCAAGATGGATCATGCCTAAAATGACTGACACCTGAGTTTGTCCTCTGGCCTCTTCACACAGGCACACCCAGTGGATAACACACACATACAGAAAAACACAAAGACAGTATAGGAAAACAATAAATATAGACACAAGAAAGCAATCATTGACAAAGTATTAGCATGCTTATTTCAAACAAACAAAAAGCAACACATACTGGGTGTTTTTATTTGTTGGTTTGTTTATTTTTTTAATCAAGTAAGATTTATCCCAGGAATTCAAGATTAATTTAACACCTAAAATTAAAAAAGAGCAACTGATTGAGGATGGAGAACTATATGGAAATCTAATTAGATTAAAAAAAAAACATTTGGCAAATTCAACAGCCTTTAATGATAAAAAATATTCAGGTATCTAGGTAAAAAAGTCTTCCTCAATGATAAAGGGGATTTCTGAAAACCATCATTTCATGGTGAAAAGTTCCCTCTAAAATTAGGAGCAAGGGGCTGGAGCAATGCTCAGTGGCTGAGAGAGCTTGCTGTTCTTCCAGAAGGGTGGACCTGAGTCAAATCCCTAGTATGTATATCAAGCTGCTCACAACTCCAGGGGATCCGATGCCCTCTTCTGGTCTCCACAGGTACCATGCACTCATGCATGCATGATGTGGGCATAAACAGACAGACAGACAGACAGACAGACAGACAGACAGACAGACACACACACACACACACACACACACACACACACACACACACCTTTAAAATCAGGAATAAGATATGTCTGCTTTTACAACCCTTTGTGTGTGTGCATTTGCACATGTGTGCAAGTGTTCATGGAGCTAAAGGACAGCCCTGGTTGTCATTCCTTACGGGGCCTTGGTGGATTTTGCTTTGTTTTGAGACAAGGTCTCTCACTGGCCTGTGGCCTGCCAAGTAAGTAGGTAAGGCTGGCTGGCCAGAGAACCCCAGGGATCTGCTTGTTTCTGCCTCTACTGGGACTACAGGTTATTGCTTCCTTCTGGTCAAATGGATTTCTTGTCCGCATGCCTTGATCACAACATATAACACAATACTGACATGAGTGGCAAGTGTTGTCTTGAGAGCATGAAGATCCGAGTTTGCATGACATTCTCTTAGAATCCCAACAGTGGGAAGCCCAAATGAATCAGCTATCTATATATAAGACTAAGATTCATAAGGACTACACTGGGGAAATCTTTGTGAGACTACACTAGTCTTGGATATGACATCAACAGAACAAAAGAAGAGGCGAAGATGGAAAAGAGACAAGATGTATTTTCAACTAAGTTATAAACCTTCGTACTGCTAGCAAGACAACGAAAAGACACCTTGCGGCCAGGTGGTGGTGGTGCACACCTTTAATCCCAGCACTTGGGAGGCAGAGGCAGGCGGATCTCTGTGAGTTCGAGGCCAGCCTGGTCTCCAGAGTGCCAGGATAGGCTCCAAAGCTACACAGAAAAACCCTGCCTCAAAAAACCAAAAAAAAAAAAAAAGACACCTTGCAAAATGGGGAAAAAAAAACAAAACTCTGCAGATAAATTATCAGGGACTTGTACCAAGACAGAAATTTTAGTATGGTGGCACACACCTATAATCCCAGCACCCAGAAAAGCTGAGGCAGGAGGATTGCAAAGTTAGAGGCTAGCCTGTTCTATATAACATTCTGTAGGCCAGACTGGGCTTCATAGTGAGACCCTGACACTTTCACTGCCCCCCCCTCCACACACACACACACACACACTTTTTATGTCAATAGAAAGAAGGCAGCTACTCTATATATCAGGAAAGCAGTTTGCAATCTTTCAAAACGTTAAGCATAATCACTATGCATTCCAGTGAGTACAGTCTATATGTGTCCACACAAATTGTAGAACCCACATGAGCAGAGAAGTGCTAAGCCAACAGTGGGACATCTGCACTGGAACACTCTCTGGAAACACTAGCTGTGACCCAGACAGGCCTTAACACTACCATGCTAAGTGAAAGAAATGACTCGAGAGAGAGCAAACCTCGAGCTCCTTTGTTTATATGAAAGCATAGAATATAATGAGCAGAATAAGCAAACTTAGAGAGCAGGGAAGAAGTGACAGTGACTGGTCATAGGTACAAGGGCTTCTTCTGGGACAATACTACTCTATTCTACTCAAGCCTTTAGCCGGGGGTGGTGATGCACACCTTTAATCCCAGCACTTGTGAAGCAGAGGCAAGTGGATCTCTGTGAGTTCAAGGCCAGCCTGGTTTACAGAGTGAGTTCTAGGACAGCCAAGGATACACAGAGAAACTGTTTCAAAACACCAAAAACCAAAAACCAAACACAGTGTCAAATAATCATTTTTATGGGAGGTGGTATGATGCCTTTGTAAGTTCCACTAGAATCTAAGCTGGAAATGACTTTTCTTGGGATGCTGGGAGCAAAGAGGAGCTGAGAGAGGAGGAGGAAAACTCATGATGACAGCAGGGCCTGCTGTCTTCCACAATCTGTTGCCCACATTGCATGACTGCCTCTCAGCCACTGTTTTCCAGTTGTGACTCACCAAGTCTATAGAATCTAGTTCTGGCTCGTTGGATTGAAGTACAGGCTCTTCATTTTCTTCTTCATTCTTTTTGCAAGGCGTTTGCTTGGAAGGAAGTAAATTATACCACAGCATGAAAATCTCATTGGAAAATGGTAAATCTGCCAGGCTGATCTGAGTCCCAGCCTACAGGAAATGGAAGAAATAAAGAGAGAAATGGAACGTTTAAATTAGTATTTGTCCTCTCTGGTAAGACAAAAGATGACAGGGCAAGCTTGTCTTAAAGCCGAACCAACACACTACTGGTTACATAAGGCACTGGCTGTGTATTTGTGTCTGCGTGTGTACTAGTGTGTGTGTATGCATGTACTTTCATGTGTGTACACATGAATGTGCAGTAGTCAGAGGATGACACAGATATTTTCCTCAGTCTTCTCCACTATTTATTTATTTGTTCATTTATTTACGATAGACAGGGTGTCTCATGGAATCTGGAGTCAAGGCCCTAGGATCCACCCTCCTCTACCCCTCCGGTACAGGGTTAAGGCATGCACCACTGAGTCCCGCTTTTACTCTCATGCTCGGGCAGCAGGCACTTAATCCAAGGAGCCATCTCCCCTGCTCAGGACTGGTGGGATTTTAGAATCTGAGCATATTGATATCTTCAACTGTAGTTCAGTAAGGAAATAATGCCCAATTAAACTGCCAATCCTGGGATTATCTTGTAAGGTTAAAATTTCCCGACTAATTTCCCCCATGACTAAGCATGCAACTTTTTCTAAATGTGGAATTATATTTAAATGGAATTAAAAAGTAAACAAATAAATGACTAAGTAGAGACAAAAGTGCTTTTTTTAATACGTCAGAAGAGTGACTTGATTATGACAATACATGGTTATTCATAAAAAAAGTTTAAAGACTGACACTTGGTCTTGCTCTTGAATGAGAATGTAGCAAGATTGTGTGTGTGTGTGTGTGTGTGTGTGTGTGTGTGTGTGTGTGTGAGTGAGTGTGTGTGTATCCATGGGTCACTAGAAAGCCCCCAAAAAACCATAAAAGATCAGATAAAAGCGACTTCAGAGCCCGCCAAGCCACAGCTAGGGTTTAATCCCAACTCCACTGCTTCCAAGAGGCATCATTGGCATCTTTAGTAATCCTGCTGGAGCCTTTGACACATAGCAAGCGTGTCCTGACAAAGCCATCTTGGTGTCATTCTAGTTTTA